ATTTGATAGAATGGAAGATATATTACAGAAATAGAGATGATTTTGATTGGTTTCACGATAACAAGTACCTTGAAATTGAGCTCAAAGTAGCGAAAATGTTCGATTTTTGCCGATATTCAAGAGTAAACAAATCACGCCACGCGTCCAATACACGTCAACTGGCGAGTCTAATATTCTTTCACAAGTGTGCTGATATCATTTATACTGGTTTTACAATGATGCAATAGTATACATAACTAAAAACCTTCTATTTTCTGTGAAAATAAAAATTCAAAATAGAAACCTAGAGACATGACTAATGAACAGAGAACATGTTATTTTAGCACCTTGAATGTCTCTCTTGTTCATTCTGGACCCTATTTTAAAATTGGCATCATTTGAAATTTGTGTGAGATTGCCCAAATTGCCAATTTCTGACCACTTTATTGGGCAGTTGAAATCGGTAAATGGGAGCTTTCTTGTACTCAATCGATAGAACAAATGGAGTTCTAGCAAAATAGCTATGATTTTAGTCAACATTGGAATTGGTCAAAAATAGGGCTCAAAGTGGGCAAAATTGCCGATGTGTAAATATTGTTGAGACTGCTAACTTCGTGAGAGCATAATTCCATAAGTTTTCCACCAAATTTCATACTTTTGGTGTCATTATGATCAGAAAAAGATTATCATTTCATGAGAATTTTTTTTTTTTTTTTTCTAAAATTTCGACCCTGAGAATGAGTTTGGGAGAGGGCCTCTCAACCCTCAAAGGGTTAAAAAATGTATTTTTGGTTAATATTTTTGGGTGTCTGGAACTGATTAATTGTATTTACATTAATTCTTATGGGAAATATTACTTCGGTTTTCAGCCTTTTCAGATTTAGGCCAACATTCTGGAACGGATTACAGCCGAAATCTGGGGTTCCACTCTACTGGTTTCTGTTTCACACTTGGCAGGAAGGTAGTACCTCTCTGAGTGGATGCTGTCTACCTGGTTAGGGCAGGCAGCACAGCTCCTGGCCCTGCCTCTTTGATGGTTGCTTCTAGGCCCACTCTCTACCAGCTCCAAGAGCCTTATTGTGAGTGCACATTTGTGTGTGCATATTCAACATTTTTTTTTTTATCAAACTGGTCGTATCCCACCAAGGCAGGGTGACCCAAAAAGAAAAACAAAAATTTCTCTTTCTAAATTTAGTAATGTGTACAGGAGAAGGGGTTACTACCCCCTTGCTCCCGGCATTTTAGTTGCCTCTTATGACACGCACGGCTTACAGAGGAAGAATTTTGTTCCACTTCCCCACTGAGAACTGGCCTCCATGTGGCAGGGTCTGCTAACTCAGAGATAACTCTGAGGCTTACAGTGGTCGTGTTCAATATATTAAAATTAGTTTATATTACGGAGATTAACAAATATCATCATTACAGCACCAATAATTTTGCCAGCACAATACACCCTAACAGTGAACATATATAAAGATTCTATTTAAAGTTATTAAAATTGTAACCCGTGTTCCTGTCCTCCTGGTCAGCAGAATGATCCTCCTTGTTAATGTAAAGGAAATTCAAGTTTATCCAAATTTTACATCATTTACAGTATATCTAAACTGAGAAAAAGTTGAATATTAAGTGTAGTTTTAATAAATTTGTACTCTGTTAACAAGTAGAATTATTAAGTGGCCCCTTTACCAGCACCTTGTTGTGAAGTGGATTCTTCACCAGCACCTTTGTCCATAGTGTCCCCTTCACCAACACCTTATCTGTAAAGTGGCACCTTGTCTGTAAAGTGGCACCTTGTCTGTAAAGTGGCACCTTATCTGTAAAGGGGAGAAAGTGTGGAAAACTTCACTTGAGAGAGCAGTCATCAAGAAAGTTAAAGTATGTTTTGTTTACTTCAACCTACATGAAGAAACTATGAAGCTTTGATGATGGTGTAGGGCTCTTGATCCAAGGAACTGGACTTGTGCTCCCCTTCCTTGGATGGAACCTGAATGCCTCCTATTCCCCAGGCACTATGACCCATACAGATTAAGTGTTTCCCCTGGTGAAAATAAAAACAAAGGTTTAAATTCAAAAGCATCTGTATAATACAGTGGACCCCCGGTTAACGATATTTTTTCACTCCAGAAGTATGTTCAGGTGCCAGTACTGACCGAATTTGTTCCCATAAGAAATATTGTGAAGTAGATTAGTCCATTTCAGACCCCCAAACATACACGTACAAACACACTTACATAAATACACTTACATAATTGGTCGCATTCAGAGGTAATCGTTATGTGGGGGTTCACTGTACTTTAGTTCATTCTTACCATAAATACATCATACAATCTCATACATGTATTATCACATACAAAGCAGGCAGCAGGTGATATAAACATATACAACATGCAGTAAGTGTGATACACATGTGTACAAGAGGCAGTGTAAGATACACTGCCTGCTGTACACTTGTGTAAGTGATGTACATAAAGAACAAAAAGGCACAAAACAGTGACTGGAACAATGATGATGTTTTGGTCCGACTTGGACCAGGATGGACTGAAATGCTGCTATATGCTGCTCACCTATATGTGCGGGTTATTTGTGTAGTGATGTACAAGTGTACAGCAAGGAGTGTGATGTACATGTGTACAACTGGCAGCAGGTGTAATATGTCTCCATCACAGAATGACACACACACATTGCACATTACGACACATGGACAATATGACGTGAATGAAATACAGTCTTACACATGTACAACATGGCACGATGCATGTACATCCATGTGTAAAACATGCATGACATGTATATGATACATGTACAACAAAGCACGAGGCTTGTACAACACGGCATGAGGCATATACAACACAGTATGATGTATACAACACACAAGGCATGTACAAAACGTATACAACACAGCATGACATATGCAACAAAACAAACCTCATCAACAGATTACACCAATGGTAACAGATTGATAACAAAGATGTATTTGTTAAAATGTTGCATAGCAAAGGCCCTTACAAATATTAATACTAAGGCAAAACAAAATTCTAACACAAGATACTACTGGGATTACCAAGGTGTTTCTGCCATATATGGTAGTGGTTGGTAAGACACATAGGCAACAGTTAGGCAACTTTATTCCGAAACGTTTCGCCTACACAGTAGGCTTCTTCAGTCGAATACAGAAAGTAGGCAGGAACAGTAGAGATGTGAAGACGATGTAATCAGTCCATCACCCTTGAAGTCGTAGAATTTTGAGGTTGTCAGTCTCTCAGCCTGGAGAAGTTCAGTTCCATAGTCTATGGAACTGAACTTCTCCAGGCTGAGAGACTGACAACCTCAAAATTCTACGACTTCAAGGGTGATGGACTGATTACATCGTCTTCACATCTCTACTGTTCCTGCCTACTTTCTGTATTCGACTGAAGAAGCCTACTGTGTAGGCGAAACGTTTCGGAATAAAGTTGCCTAACTGTTGCCTATGTGTCTTACCAACCAACCTGTCGGTATAGTATACCATTTTGATGTTCATATATGGTAGTCTAGATGCCAGTGAGAAAATGTAAGACAGTGAGCCTCTGCTCCTTTTATTACACTGAACCTCACTGCTGTCAGGCACTGTATTACCCTAATGTGTTCAGCGTTTACCCATGATAATTTTTCCCCATTCAGTCTAGAGATTTTAATTATAATTTCCATGACATATTATTTCTGAGCTCAATTATTTCACAGGATAGTAAGAGTCAACGGTATTTATTACACATTTTAACACTTAAGCAGACCCTGTGTATTAAATGTTTTTTCCAAGATATTTCATAGCGACTTGAAAAATTTAATAACATCAGAAATTCCGAAACACAATATTCCTATTCTGTACTAGGGCAGTCAATTCAGGCTGAGTATTAATTTTTTTCTTTTTAACACGTCCATTTCCCACTGAGACAGGGTGACCCCAAAAAGAAAGAAAAACCCAAAACTAAAGGAAAAACTTTCATCATTCAACATTTTCACAATCACTCATACATAATCACTGTCTGCAGAGGTGCTCAGATACAACATACACCATACATTTTCTGTGTTCTTCAATTCAAGTCTTTGGTCCCTTATATGCTTAATGACTCTTGTAAACTTTGGTTCATCACTAAGTGCCTTTCCCATAAATGGAATGAAGCAGGTTCATCACATCTTAAAGACATTACTAGAACTTCCTATTATTTTTTTTAACTTACACAGATTAGAATCATATGAATTTCCCATTACATTTTCCTTGCATATCTACTGCTGTGCACCTTATCTACTGTTGGTGGTGGCATTCCCATGACTCTGCTGTTAAATTTTATACCTCGTGCAAATACAGCATCACTGTTTCAATGTATAGCTTTCAAGCATATAAAAAATAAAATAAGCTGAAGCACTGCAGCTACAGTCTTGAGAAAACATTCAAAATGAGTCACTTATGATAAACTTGCTACTTTAAAAATTCGTCATTACTCACGTGTTCACCAGTTTGAGACAAAGCGTTCGAATATTGTAATATTGTTCAAATGTAATATTGTTCAGCCTAAGTTACAAAACATGCACACTCAAATTTTCACAAGTGTTAATTGGGTCGCAAGTTAAAGTCTACTGTCACAATCAAGCTGGGAGCTCAGATCAAATGCATATTGAGAGAAGAGTTGCCCAAGCATTATTGTTACTGCATTACAATGAACTCCACTATGTTGTTATAGGACAAATGATCAGGCCTATATAAACATTCAAGGATTCTCTTACCCAAAACTTAGGAGTTTACACAACCACACTGTAATTAATGTGAATTTCATAACTACTGGCCAGTGTATGGATTGACCACCTAAACATAGCCTCAACCTTAGTGGGATCTCAAGTCAATTAAGAGATTCATATCCCCAACAAGGTATAGCCCCATATGCAGTTATATAACAATATAATCCTAATGCATTAGTCAGCATAGTCTGGGTCTTGACATAACAGTGACTTATTCATTATATTATTAGATAATAAAACACCTCTACTCTTGTCCACCTTACAATATAATTAACAAAAATGACAACTTGAAGAATGGTAATGAACTGGCAAACAAAACAGCGGTCACCAATAACAACCTCAAGAATGTTAAACAGTATAGATTCATCAATGAAAACTGAATGGGGTACAATTAATGAGCAATCACTCATTAGCATGGCTAATATAGGGTGTTAACCCTTATAGGGTTAACACCTTATATTTCCCATGAGGGAAGGCTACTTGCTTCTACACTCTCCAGACTACCACACAAGAGTACAGTGCCATGTGGTGGCTTATGCAATTTGTCCCTCTTACATATGCCTACTGAGAAAAACTTCATTCTGTTCACATACTATTTTTTGAGTGACCAAGCAGCAACTCATAATAGTCAATCATGTGTGTTAACTTTTTACACATGTTTATAATGTTGCTACCAAGCCTTCAAAACATGAAATATCTGGAAAATACTGAAATATCTAGAGAAGACTGTGTGTAGCTCCCATCTCTCAAGAGTTCACAAGAAGGAAAAAAAGTCATGACAAGATATACAAAGATGATTCTAAATAGAACGTTTTACCTGCATATAAGATCACTATATATTTCCATAATGAAGTCTGAATTTGTTAATGTAATGTAAATGCTAAATATACATTTAACATTTATCTATATCTTTGAAGCTGTAGTCATTTTTGAAGCTTTCCCTCCCTGAGTGGGAGCATGTGGAACCTTGCCAAGACTTCACGGCTGGTGTGGCCATTATGTAAATGAAAGTTCCCACTACCTTCAACTGAGCAACAAGTGTGCAGAGACTGACGGTTACCATAGTAAGCATATCAATGTCAGCAAGTAAAAGAAAATTGGTGAAGTACTAAGTGGTGTTCCGTTGCTCTGGCAGTGAATCACCAAGTGGTGTTGCAGTGAAGCACCAAGTAGTGTTCCAGTGCTCCAGCAGTGAAATACCAAGTGGTGCTCTGATGCTCCAGCAGTGAAGTACCAAATGATGCTTCAGTGCTCCAGCAGTGAAGTACCAAATGGTGCTTCAGTGCTCCAGCAGTGAAGTACCAAATGGTATTTCAGTGCTCCAGTAGTGAATCACCAAGCGGCGTTCCTCCAGCAGTGAATCACCAAATGGTATTCCAGTGCTCCAGCAGTGAATCACCAAGTGGTGTTCCTCTGGCATTGAATCAACAAGTGGTGTTCCTCCAGTAGTGAAGCACCAAGTGGTGTTCCAGTACTCCAATAGCCAGAAGAGTTAACACTTGTCATCTAGTAGGTTACAACTTTCTAACTGTACACTGTGGTATACTGTGATAAATAATATATCTCCCACAAACTGATAATACAAATTAACTACAGCATTCCATAAACAATTTAAAAAACTTTGTAAAAAACAAGTTTGAAGTTCATAAAAAAATAAACTGCAATAAGTATACTTGGATATCAATTATATACAATATCACTATCTGCTTAACAAGACCCAAGAAATTAGGGAAAACTTGCTCATACAACTTTAAGCAGTTATATTTTACATAGCATGATCTTAGTTGCACAAACTCTTGCTAACACGGAGCTAGTTATTAGTCTATTTAGAGTAGCAGCTAGTTATGCAAATTAGCTAAAAAAGTCACTAAGAAAAACAATCTGCTTGATATGAAGATAACAAATGTTCCTTAGAAGGCCCACTTAATAAATTTATTACCTTGGTTCTCCATTAGAAAAATCCTTATACTTACAAAACCCACAAGAACTGATACAATATTACAACATTAATGTCAAGGGAATATTATACAGTATCTTCAGAGTAAAATATCACTTTGTGTAGCACTAGGTAAAGCAAGTTGTAACTCAGTACAGTGCTTAGTAAAACACACTGAATGTGACTTTCATAGAAATGTATGATATAAAAGCTGAAACTTAAATTTTCTTGACAATTTTATGTAAAAAGGCCTACCTGAATATGCTGAAGATACATATGTATTATAACAAAAGACCAAAATGAGATCAATAACAAGGAAACCTTAATTATTACTAGGTATGTTTAAACAGTTAACCTGACTCTATTGTCTATTAACCCTTTGACTGTTTCGGCTGTATATACAGTGGACCCCCGGTTAACGATATTTTTTCACTCCAGAAGTATGTTCAGGTGCCAGTACTGACCGAATTTGTTCCCATAAGAAATATTGTGAAGTAGATTAGTCCATTTCAGACCCCCAAACATACACATACAAACGCACTTACATAAATACACTTACATAATTGGTCACATTCGGAGGTAATCGTTATGCGGGGCTCCACTGTATATAGTCTTATGAGCCAATGTGTTTGACGTATATATACTCAAAAATTCAAGCAGGAGAAAGCTGGTAGGCCCACATGTGAGAGAATGAGTCTGTGTGGTCAGTGTGCGCAGTATAAAAAAAAATCCTGCATCAAGCAGTGCGTAATGAGAAAAAAAACTCCGACCGTGTTTTTGGATTAAAACGCCGACTTTGAGGTGTATTTTTGTATAGTTTTTATGGTTATATTCTCGTTTTCGTAGTCTCATTTGATAGAATGGAAAACATATAGAAATGGAGGTGATATTGATTGGTTTTACTATGAAAAGGACGTTGAAATGGAGCTCAAAGTATGTTTGATTTTTGCCGATGTTCAAGAGTAATAAATGTCGTCATTGTCCAATAAATGCCCAACTAGCCATTCTAATATGCAGTCATGAGTGGGTTGACATTATTTATACAATTATTACAATATTGCAGTAGTCTGCATAACAGCAAATCTTCTATTTTTTGTTTGAATAAAAATTCAAAATAGAAAGTAAAAGTAATATCAGAGAGGCCTCGAGACATGACTGATAAACAAAGAAAATGTTATTTTAGAGCCAGGAATGTCTGCATTGTTCATTTTGGACCCTATTTTGAAATTGGCATATTTTTTAATTTACATGAAATTGGTCAAATTGCCAATTTCTGACCACTTCATTGGGAAGTTGAAATCGGTAAATCGGCAGTTTCTTGTACTCAATCGATAGAACAAATGGAGTTCTAAAGAAATAGCTATGAGTTTGGTCGACTGGAACAATGGAATTAGCCGAAAATAGGGCTCAAAGTGGGCAAAATCGCCAATTCAAAAATATCACCGAGGTTGCCAACCTCGCAAGAGCATAATTCCATAAGTTTTCTATCAAATTTTGTACTTTTGGTGTCATTACCATCGGGAAAAGATTCTCTATCATTTCATGAGAAAAAATAATTTTTTTTTTTCAAATATTCTGCGACACCAGGAGACACCTCAGGATTTGGGGTTGCGACAGTCAAAGGGTTAAAAACCTGCACAGAAATAATACTTATGATAAATTTTCTCATCAATGTTGCAAATCTTTGGCCAAATGCAAACTATCACAACTTGTTCTGGCGCATACTCACACTGTTCACTATCCTCCAAGTGTAGTAGTCTCTTTCTTTACATCAACTTCATAGTTCAATGCAATAGTTCTTTCCTTCCTCGTCTATTTGCTTATATTTATCCTCTTTTATAACTAGATTCAACACTTGTGCAACTTTGTTTTCTCTAATCTAGTCAGTGATTAACTTCATCTTTCCTAGGACCATCTGCTGACATTTTCTTTTTAACACACTGGCTGTCTCCCACCGAGGAAGGGTGACCCAAAAAAGAAACACTTTTGCCATCATTCATAATATCTGTGTCTTCCCAGAAGCAGGCAGATACAACATTCACTGCATCTAAATTCTTTACTTCCATCATGATTAATTATCTTCAATTGTCTATAAATCTTTTTCTCATTAGCTTTCTCTCTTCTGTATTCACTTTTCAATTTCCTCATTTTACACACACTTCCAAACAACTTCTGTGCCAGCCTCAGCAACTTTAGTTCTAAATCCTGAAGAGGGTAGCTGAATGATGTTTCTAGGGATCAACATCCCCATGGCCTGGTCCCAGACCAGGCCATGGTCATGACCCACTGGGTGGCCTGGTCCCAGACCAGGCCACCCAGTGGGTCAAGGCCTTATCAACTATGTTATTAGGCTGCACACACTGCAACCTATTTACAGTAAGAATATTTTTTTAACCACACCTCACCCAAACACACTTGCATTCACTGCTCTTCTGCCCCTCTCTATAAACATAATAACAACCATAGTGACTTTGCATTGTCTTTTTCATTTTCCACCCAACTTTACTGGACACCACTGCCCTTCTTACCTGCATACCCTAATGTGTCCCACTTTCCTCACAAAAACTGCTGACATCTTTCAACAACTTACAACCCATTATATTCACATTTCAACAACTTACCACTCATTATATTTGCTTGCAACACCTGTCAAAACTCTCCTTGATTTACTATATTTTGTCATTTGTTCATGTTTTGTAAGTAAAACTCAAGGTTGGAAAAGAATTCAGCAGCGAATAACAGTAAAAGTAACTTAAAATTCTAAACAGATGAAGTGGAAGATAATGAAAGAGATCCCGAGCTGGAACGAACATGCGAGCGCTGACGAGGAAGACGGAAGTGGTCCTCAGGAAGTATCTCATTAATGGCTTGGCCTTGGAGAGGACGTAATGGGTTTCTGGCACGGATACCTCTTGTAGTGGGTCGTGAGGCAGGGTCTTTTGAAAGCATCAACTTCAGTAGTGAACTCTGTTTAAATAAAAGGATTAATATGTAGGATTGCGGATGAGCAAGGAGGTTTTAGAGTGGGTAGGGGATGTGTAGATCAGGTGTTTACATTGAAGCATATATGTGAACAGTATTTAGATAAAGATAGGGAAGTTTTTATTGCATTTATGGATTTAGAAAAGGCATATGATAGAGTGGATAGAGGAGCAATGTGGCAGATGTTGCAAGTATATGGAATAGGTGGTAAGTTATTAAATGCTGTAAAGAGTTTTTATGAGGATAGTGAGGCTCAGGTTAGGGTGTGTAGAAGAGAGGGAGAATACTTCCCGGTAAAAGTAGGTCTTAGACAGGGATGTGTAATGTCACCATGGTTGTTTAATATATTTATAGATGGGGTTGTTAAGGAAGTAAATGCTAGGGTGTTTGGGAGAGGGGTGGGATTAAATTATGGGGAATCAAATTCAAAATGGGAATTGACACAGTTACTTTTTGCTGATGATACTGTGCTTATGGGAGATTCTAAAGAAAAATTGCAAAGGTTAGTGGATGAGTTTGGGAATGTGTGTAAAGGCAGAAAGTTGAAAGTGAACATAGAAAAGAGTAAGGTGATGAGGGTGTCAAATGATTTAGATAAAGAAAAATTGGATATCAAATTGGGGAGGAGGAGTATGGAAGAAGTGAATGTTTTCAGATACTTGGGAGTTGACGTGTCGGCGGAGGATTTATGAAGGATGAGGTTAATCATAGAATTGATGAGGGAAAAAAGGTGAGTGGTGTGTTGAGGTATATGTGGAGTCAAAAAACGTTATCTATGGAGGCAAAGAAGGGAATGTATGAAAGTATAGTAGTACCAACACTCTTATATGGGTGTGAAGCTTGGGTGGTAAATGCAGCAGCGAGGAGACGGTTGGAGGCAGTGGAGATGTCCTGTTTAAGGGCAACGTGTGGTGTAAATATTATGCAGAAAATTCGGAGTGTGGAAATTAGGAGAAGGTGTGGAGTTAATAAAAGTATTAGTCAGAGGGCAGAAGAGGGGTTGTTGAGGTGGTTTGGTCATTTAGAGAGAATGGATCAAAGTAGAATGACATGGAAAGCATATAAATCTATAGGGGAAGGAAGGCGGGGTAGGGGTCGTCCTCGAAAGGGTTGGAGAGAGGGGGTAAAGGAGGTTTTGTGGGTAAGGGGCTTGGACTTCCAGCAAGCGTGCGTGAGCGTGTTAGATAGGAGTGAATGGAGACGAATGGTACTTGGGACCTGACGATCTGTTGGAGTGTGAGCAGGGTAATATTTAGTGAAGGGATTCAGGGAAACCGGTTATTTTCATATAGTCGGACTTGAGTCCTGGAAATGGGAAGTACAATGCCTGCACTTTAAAGGAGGGGTTTGGGATATTGGCAGTTTGGAGGGATATGTTGTGTATCTTTATATGTGTATGCTTCTAGACTGTTGTATTCTGAGCACCTCTGCAAAAACAGTGATAATGTGCGAGTGTGGTGAAAGTGTTGAATGATGATGAAAGTATTTTCTTTTTGGGTCACCCTGCCTCGGTGGGAGAAGGCCGACTTGTTGGAAAAATAAAAAAAGTGAGGCTCAGGTTAGGGTGTGTAGGAGAGAGGGAGATTACTTCCCAGTAACAGCAGGTCTTAGAGATATGAAATGTCACCATGATTGTTTAACATATTTATAGATGAGGGATTAAATTATGGAGAATCAAATACAAAATGGGAATTGACACTGTTACTTTTTGCTGATGATACTGGGCTTTTGGGAGATTCTAAAGAAAAGTTGCAAAAGTTACTGGATGAGTTTGGGAGGGTGTGTAAAGATAGAAAGTTGAAAGTGAGCATGGCTACGAGTAAGGTGATGTGGGTATCAAACGATTTAGATAAAGAGAAATTGGATGTCACATTGGAGGGAGGGAGTATGGAAGAAGTGAATGTTTTCAGATATTTGGGAGTTGACTTGTCTGTGGATGAGTTTATGAAGGTTGGTAGACAGCAACCACCCAGGGAGGTACTACCGTCCTGCCAAGTGAGTGTAAAACGAAGCCTGTGATTGTTTTACATGATGGTAGGATTGCTGATGTCTTTTGTCTGTCTCATAAATATGCAAGATTACAGGCATGTCTTGCTACTTCTACTTACACTTAGGTCACACTACACATACATGTACACATTTATTTATACACACTCATCTGAGTTTTCTTTGATTTTATCTTAATAGTTCTTGGTCTTATTACTTTTCCTTTTATATCCATGGGGAAGTGGAATAAGAATCTTTTCCTCCGTAAGCCATGCGTGTTGTAAAAAGTCAACTAAAATGCCGGGATACAATGGGCTAGTAACCCTTTTCCTGTAAAGATTACTAAAAAGAATAAGAAGAAGAAAATTGTCAAAGTGGGAAGTCTGAATGTGCGTGGATGTTGTGCAGATGATAAGAAAGAGATGATTGTGGATGTTATGAATGAGAAGAAGCTGGATGTCCTGGCTTTAAGTGAAACAAAGCTGAAGGGGGTGGGAGAGTTTCAGTGGAGAGGAATAAATGGGATTAGGTCAGGGGTTTCAAATAGAGTTAGAGCTAAAGAAGGAGTAGCAATAATGTTGAAGGATAAGCTATGGCAGGAAAAGAGGGACTATAAATGTATTAATTCAAGGATTATGTGGAGTAAAATAAAGATTGGATGTGAAAAGTGGGTTATAATAAGCGTGTATGCACCTGGAGAGAGAGAAGTGTAGAGGAGAGAGAGAGATTTTGGGAAATGTTGAGTGAATGCGTGGGGAGTTTTGAATCAAGTGTGAGAGTAATGGTGGTTGGGGATTTTAATGCTAAAGTGGGTAAAAATGTTATGGAGGGAGTAGTAGGTAAATTTGGGGTGCCAGGGGTAAATGTAAATGGGGAGCCTTTAATTGAGCTATGTGTAGAAAGAAATTTGGTAATAAGTAATACATATTTTATGAAAAGAGGATAAATAAATATACAAGGTATGATGTAGCACGTAATGAAAGTAGTTTATTAGATTATGTATTGGTGGATAAAAGGTTGATGGGTAGGCTCCAGGATGTACATGTTTATAGAGGGGCAACTGATATATCGGATCATTATTTAGTTGTAGCTACAGTTAGAGTAAGAGGTAGATGGGAAAAGAGGAAGGTGGCAACAACAAGTAAGAGGGAGGTGAAAGTGTATAAACTAAGGGAGGAGGAAGTTCGGGTGAGATATAAGCGACTATTGGCAGAAAGGTGGGCTAGTGCAAAGATGAGTAGTGGGGGGGTTGAAGAGGGTTGGAATAGTTTTAAAAATGCAGTATTAGAATGTGGGGCAGAAGTTTGTGGTTATAGGAGGGTGGGGGCAGGAGGAAAGAGGAGTGATTGGTGGAATGATGAAGTAAAGGGTGTGATAAAAGAGAAAAAGGTAGCTTATGAGAGGTTTTTACAAAGCAGAAGTGTTTATAAGAAGAGCAGAGTATATGGAGAGTAAAAGAAAGGTAAAGAGAGTGGTGAGAGAGTGCAAAAGGAGAGCAGAATGATAGAGTGGGAGAGGCACTGTCAAGAAATTTTAATGAAAATAAGAAAAAATTTTGGAGTGAGTTAAACAAGTTAAGAAAGCCTAGGGAAAATATGGATTTGTCAGTTAAAAACAGAGTAGGGGAGTTAGTAGATGGGGAGATGGAGGTATTGGGTAGATGGCGAGAATATTTTGAGGAACTTTTAAATGTTAAGGAAGAAACAGAGACAGTAATTTCATGCACTGGTCAGGGAGGTATACCATCTTTTAGGAGTGAAGAAGAGCAGAATGTAAGTGTGGGGGAGGTACGTGAGGCATTACGTAAAATGAAAGGGGGTAAAGCAGCTGGAACTGATGGGATCATGACAGAAATGTTAAAAGCAGGGGGGGATATAGTGTTGGAGTGGTTGGTACTTTTGTTTAATAAATGTATGAAAGAGGGGAAGGTACCTAGGGATTGGCAGAGAGCATGTATAGTCCCTTTATATAAAGGGAAAGGGGACAAAAGAGACTGTAAAAATTATAGAGGAATAAGCTTACTGAGTATACCAGGAAAAGTGTACGGTAGGGTTATAATTGAAAGAATTAGAGGTAAGACAGAATGTAGGATTGCGGATGAGCAAGGAGGTTTTAGAGTGGGTAGGGGATGTGTAGATCAGGTGTTTACATTGAAGCATATATGTGAACAGTATTTAGATAAAGATAGGGAAGTTTTTATTGCATTTATGGATTTAGAAAAGGCATATGATAGAGTGGATAGAGGAGCAATGTGGCAGATGTTGCAAGTATATGGAATAGGTGGTAAGTTTTTAAATGCTGTAAAGAGTTTTTATGAGGATAGTGAGGCTCAGGTTAGGGTGTGTAGAAGAGAGGGAGACTACTTCCCGGTAAAAGTAGGTCTTAGACAGGGATGTGTAATGTCAACATGGTTGTTTAATATATTTATAGATGGGGTTGTAAAGGAAGTAAATGCTAGGGTGTTTGGGAGAGGGGTGGGATTAAATTATGGGGAATCAAATTCAAAATGGGAATTGACACAGTTACTTTTTGCTGATGATACTGTGCTTATGGGAGATTCTAAAGAAAAATTGCAAAGGTTAGTGGATGAGTTTGGGAATGTGTGTAAAGGTAGAAAGTTGAAAGTGAACATAGAAAAGAGTAAGGTGATGAGGGTGTCAAATGATTTAGATAAAGAAAAATTGGATATCAAATTGGGGAGGAGGAGTATGGAAGAAGTGAATGTTTTCAGATACTTGGGAGTTGACGTGTCGGCGGATGGATTTATGAAGGATGAGGTTAATCATAGAATTGATGAGGGAAAAAAGGTGAGTGGTGCGTTGAGGTATATGTGGAGTCAAAAAACGTTATCTATGGAGGCAAAGAAGGGAATGTATGAAAGTATAGTAGTACCAACACTCTTATATGGGTGTGAAGCTTGGGTGGTAAATGCAGCAGCGAGGAGACGGTTGGAGGCAGCGGAGATGTCCTGTTTAAGGGCAATGTGTGGTGTAAATATT